AAAGTTGTTAAGCAACAGGGAAAAGGATAAGCCCCTGAGAGAAGTGGGCTTATTAGGAAGATTTGTGAAATCTTAAATAAAAGCAGGCTGCAATTATGTACACACAAACGTTTTTAGGACCTAGATATAGACACTAGAGGATAAGCTAGCCATTCTTTGAATATCTAGTTCAGGAATGATGTGATGTTTTCTGTGTTAAGAGAATAAGCTTCAACAATCACCCACACATGGGAGGAAAAGATCGTTTTGAGTTCCTTGACCTCCATTCCAAAAAATATCTGACCTTAAAGCCCCCTCTGTCTGTCTGGCACACACCTCCATGTTTGGAGCACTTTCCATGTATTTCTCAACGAGCATCTCTTTACCTCTCACTTGTCAGTTATCTCATTGTCTGTGTAAAGTCTCCTGCTTGGTATCAGGCATATATTAGTGACATATGGGTCAGGAGTCTCTGGAGGCTTCTGGATAGAAGTCTCCATCCTTCTCCATCTGTGGTTCCCACACGGGTCCTCTCTTTCGCACTGACTTTGTTAATTTCTTTCATCAATTTCATTTTATTGGAGTATTGTTTGCAGCAGACATTCTTGTTGCTGTGAAGGATTGAACTCGGGGCCTCAAGCAGATTAAGCATGCACTCTACAGTTCAGCTACAACAATGGAACATTGTTGAAAGAATCCTCGTAGGTCCATCTTCATAGTAATTTGTGCCCCCTAGACCCAGACTTTTCTTTCTAAGTCACTAAGAACCCTTTATTTTCTGAGATTCCCTGCAACATTGGTGTGGGTAGTTTCAGTTCAGACACTCACAGCCAGGATGCTCTGGGACTCTGTGATATCTTCATCCTAAGGAAAAGAGAAAAGTTAACAGGAAGGAGATGATAGAGAGGAGGGTATAACAGCAGGGTCCTATCTCTGGGAATTGCCCAGGGAAGGGTCAGAATGCCATGTAGCTACCAGTCCCTCCCCTCCGGGACTCAGAGTCCAGCACTCACTCGAGACCAAATGCGCATCCATAACTCTCTCGACACGTTCTCCAGCATCTCTGGTTGTTCCATGCTCACAGCGGTGAGGAAGCGCATGGCATTTAAAGTTCCTTGGGGCACAGGCACACGGAGTTACGATGCCTCTTCCTTGTATCCTGATAGAGGACCAGCTGATCCTGACTTCTGAGACCGCGCCTCCCCCACCCCACCCCACCCCCCAGGCTCAGTCACCGACAGTCTTCAACACCAGTCTCGCATTATGAATTAACTGTCCTCAGCCCATATTTCTACCCCCTCCCCACTTTTGGCGACCTGAAGCTGGGTTGAGCTCCTTCGAAAGCCCCAACTGTTCAGTTCTCCTCTAGATTTGCCAACCCCTTCTGACCCTCTCTTATTTACTTACTTACTTCTTTTCTATTTCCTCTGGTACTAGAGTTATAGAGAGTTGGTGCTGGGATCCAAATCCGAGGAGCAGCTGGGCGCTCTTAACCTCTGAGCCATTGCTCCAAACTCCTCCTCACCTTTTTTAAGAATCACACCGAAGAAATCCTTGGGCACACTGATGGGAACCTGGAAGTGTTGTCCCAGGAGAGGAAACTCTTTGTTCATGTACTGGCCTTTCCTGGGAACCATAGCTGGCGGTTTGTTTCCTGGCAGTGAAGAGTCAGACAATTGTGAGAGGACTAGAGTGTCTCAGGCTTGGGGAATCCCTCCCCGAGGGGGCAAGACTCCCAGCTTAGGAGGTCTGAGGTCTGCACTCTTAGTGTAAGGCCGGCCCCCTCAGGCCACAGAAAAAGGGCCTGCTTGCCCAGCCAGGAGGGCTCCTTCCTGCTTACCGCTGTCATTCATGACCCCAGCGATGAGCGTGGGACGCAACTGCAGCTTGACATTCCAGAGGTGCTGGTACCTGCATAGGACCTACCCGTGCAGAAACAAGAAAGGGAGCCCGTGTGGCATCTGGACGGGACAGATGGCTCAAGTGGCCCACAGGGTTGTCTCCTGCCTGGCTCTGAGTGCAGGGCAGGGGGGAGGGACTGACTACTCCTCACCGAGCTGCTTGGTTTAAAAGGACAAAACTCTCAGTTCTTTGAAGCAGACCCGGGACTCCTTATTCTAGTGTGTGACTTCCCACCCTGAAGAGCAGGGTTCTCAACCCGTGGGTAGGGATGCTTTGGGTGAGAAGGTCAAACGACCCTTTGCAGGAGTCGCACACACACACATCGGATATTCTGCACACATCAGACATCTGCATTCATGATTGGTAACAGTAGCAAAATTGCAGTTACGAAGTTGCGGCGCGAAGACTTTCTGGAGCAACTGTATTAAAGGGTCCTAGGCAGCAGGAAGGTTGAGAGCCGCTGCTGTAGAGCATCCTGGCGCCCCTGAGTCCCCCACCCACTCAGCCTGACTTGCGTCCTTGGTGTTGTCCCTGTCTTTCCTGGGGCCCGGGGGAAGAGGACGTTTGACCTTAGCGAATCCGGACCCTCCTTAGAGACACACAACACAGTCCGTTCCAAGGCCCGAAGTGAACTTCGGCCGGGAACAGTCTGTGCTTCGCCCTAAACTTGAGGGCATCGCCAGCGATTTCTGCTGCCTGGTGCCCAGTGCCCCGCTGTGCGCTCGCTCGCCCCACGGGCCGCAGCCCCTGCGGCTTCCCCGTGTCACCTCAAATCCCAGCCAGGAGTAGGGGGACAGAACGTCGTAGAACAGCTCCAGGGTGCGCGGCGCCAGCCCCATAATGTTGTGCAGGACGAAGGCGAAGAGCACAGAACCTGCAAGCAAGCAGCCAATTCCAGCCCGGGAACTGCAGGCGGTACCGCTGAGTGCCCTAGTGCGCAGACTCCGGGAGACCTCGCCCTGCCCTGCGGGGCGGGGCCAGGGGGTGTGGCCGGTCCATGGCCACCAGGGGGATAAGGGCGGAGTCTTTTTTTTAAAGGGGATGGTGTGATTTGGGAGATCCTCTCAGGCAACTGGCTCTAGAACTTTGAACTCTGAAGCAAAGACCAATGCATCAGGAGGAATGCAATAAGTTCGGAGGAATGAAGGAGCTAAAATAGATGTATCTATAATGATTATTTCTTGTTGGGGTGCTCGGCCTTTTAAAGACTGAGTCAGGGTGGATGTTCTGTATTGCAACTGTTCTTGTGTTCAGGATCTCAGGGATTAGCACAATGTCCGGAATGAATCTAACAGTCTTTGCTCATGTCCATCCAATACACTGCAACACACCTAAGGGGCGCCTGAAATTGAAGATAACCTCAAGCTCTACATACTACGTTTTTGTCTATACATAGCTATCTATGAGGTTTAACTTACATATTCGGCATATTACTGACGAATACTAAAGTAACCCAAAGCATACCATACTAACAATTTGTGCCTTGTTACAATAAAAGTGTTATTTGAACACAAGTATTTCAGTATTACAGCACTTGATCTGATAATGGAGGCGACCACTGAAAAGGAGGTGGTTAGCATGGACATACCGAACAAGCGGATGATTACATCGCAAGAGAGAAGTTCGGCACAGGACTTCATGAACTATGATTATTTAGTTATTTTGGCTCTTGAGACAGGTTCTCACCATGTAGCCTTATCAGTCCTAGAACTCCCAATGGAGACTTGGTTGTCCCTGAACTCACAGAGATTCACCTGTCTCTACCTCCCAAGTGATGGGATTAAAGGCATGCAACACTATGCTTACTTTATGAAGTGCTGGTTTGTGTGTGTGTGTGTGTGTGTGTGTGTGTGTGTGTGTGTGTGTGTGTGTGTGTGTGTCCCAGCACACATATAGGGGTCACAATCTTTACTTGGGTGTCTAGAATTAAACTTAGGTGGCTAGGCTTACACAATCTGGAGCAAGCACCTTTACATGAGTTTGCCTCAAGCTATTCTTGGGCAAACCATCAATAATTTACTGTTTTGTTTCCATTTGCCAGTGTTAGACCATGTTTACTGCAGGGAAGTAAAACCGTGGGACATGAAAGTTTAGATTAGTAAGGTACTCTTGTGGTCCATACAGTGCTTCTGTCATGATCTAGGGAAGAATATATAACAATGACAGCTTCCAGCGTTTATGTCAAGATTGCACAACTTACAGAGTTAATACCTGATATTTCAAGTACTTGGTATTTCCCATCCTAAGGTCAGGGGAATCAAGGAGCAAAACTTTTAAAAAATGGAAGATTTTTTAAAGTAATTCTGGAGATAGTGTTAGTAGGACTAGGGGCCTCACTGCTGCAATGATTGTCAGGAAATTTTAATTTCCAAATAAGTGATAGCAAACTGGGACGTTATTTACTATGCAAAATGTATGCATCTTAAATCTCATTTAATTAAATTACTTTGAAAAGTATTTATTAGCTGTGATGCACATAAAACATTTCACTTCTCATTTGTGTTCACAAGGAAACAATCACAAGTTATCTCAGTGCAAGGAACAAATCTCTCCCTTGCCTGGAAAATGCCAAAGTTTAGACCGGTATGTCAGTGGGTAAATGCTCTTGGTTCCAAGGTTTGTACTATTAAGAAGTGGTGGGAACATTCAGAGGTGGGGCCTCGGATCTTCAGGTCGCTGGGGCTGCCATGGTAGGCTTCAGTCAACTTGGCACATGTGGGAAGAGAGAACCTCAATTAAAGAATTGCCTTCACTGGACTGCAGCCCTGCCTGGGCTGCACACAAAGTTAATCTTGGAAGGGAGCCTGAGAGCAAACCAGTAAACAATGCTCCATGGGCTCTGCTTCAATTCCTGCCTTGAGCTCCCATCCTGGACTGCCTTTGATCATGGACTTATAACCTGTGCACTGAAATATTCCCTTTCCTCCCCAGGTTGCCTTTGGTCATGGTGTTTATCATACTCCTGATTGGCCTAATATAGAGTTGAATGGCCAATAGTAAGGCCGGAGAAAGGATAGGTGAGGCTGGCAGGCAGAGAGAATAAACAGGAGGAGAAATCTGGGAGGAAAAGATGAAGGAACAAGAAAGGAAGAAGAGGACACTAGGGGCCAGCCCCCCAGCTACACAGCCAGCCATGGAGTAAGAAGTAAAGAAAGATGTATCTAATAGAGATAGGTAAAAGCCCAGAGGCAAAGGGTAAATGGGTTAATTAAGTTAAGAAAAGCCAAGCTAAGACCCCTCATTCATAAGAAAGAATAAGCCTCCATGTGGTTTATTTAGAAGCTGGGTGGTGGGCCCCCAAACAGCAAAAAACAAGAGTAAGGAGCAACCAACTACACCCCTCCCTGTTCCATATTTCATGGCCATTAGTTTGGGATTCAATCAGTGTGGCTCACTCTTGATTAGAGGGTTAAATACACTAAGCCCACCCACAGTGGAAAGAATGAGAATCTGAGCATTTACATTAAAATCACTTCTGCAATGAATGGGTATTTGGGGGCAGTGGCTTTCAACCTTCCTAATACTTCAACCCTTTAATGCAGTTCTTCATGTTATACTAACCCCAACCACAAAATTATTTTTGTTGCTACTTCATAACTATAATTTTTCTACTGTTATGAATCATAATGTAAATATATTTAAAGATAGAGGTTTGACAAAGGGGTCATAGGTTGAGAACCACAGTTTGGGGAGATTCTTTGAAGCCATGCAACTACGTCATGGCTCATAAACTTTTGCTATCAATTTTAGCATCCATCAGTTGCCTACAGCACTTCTGACTATAGTGTTTAAATAGTGATTTTTTGTTTTATTTTTTATCATTTTTTATTTGAATTAGAAACAAGATTGTTTTACATGACAATCCCAGTTCTCTTCTCCCTCCCTTCCTCCTCTACCACCCCCCAACTAAAACCCTACCTATCACATACCCTTTCTTCTATTCTTCCCCTGACTCAAACTTTCTGCTCCCTCATGACCTCTGCATCCTTCCTCTTCTTCCCTTCTCATTCTCCTAGCTCCCTCCCCTCTTCCTGTGCTCTCAATTTGCTCAGGGGATTTTAACCCATTCTTCTTCTCCCGGGGACCATGTATGTCTCTCTTAGGGTCCTCCTTGTTTACTAGCTTCTCTGGCAGTGTGGATTGTAGGCTGGTAATCCTTTATTCTATCTGTAAAATCCACACATGAGTGAGTACATATCATGTTTGTCTTTTTGTGATTGGGTTACCTTGCTCAGAATGGTTTCTTCTACTTCCATCCATTTTCCTGCAAATTTCAAGATTCCATTGTTTTTTTTTTTTTTGCTGAGTAGTACTCCATTGTGTAAATGTACCACATTTTCTCTATCCATTCTTCAGTTGAGGAATAGTGGTTATTTTTGTTTCCCTCATTTCTTTTACATTTATTAATGGGAAATATTCTGAAATGAGAATTGTCCCTTATTCCCCTTTGTTACTTATTCATTAAATATCTATTCATATCAGTATGGACTAATATTTACTTTAAGCATAATGTAACTATTAAATGCTAATCAGAGTTTCCATAGTCTCTCTTCATATGTTATTGTTATTTGTTATTATTAAAAGTTGGGCATAGGCTGGAGAGATGGCTCAGAGGTTAAGAGCACCGACTGCTCTTCCAGAGATCTGAGTTCAATTCCCAGCAACCACATCGTAGCTCACAACCATACGTTATGAGATCTGGTGCCCTCTTCTTGTGTGCAGATATACATGGAAGCAGAATGTTGTATACATAATAAATAAATAAAATCTTTAAAAAATAAAAAAATAAAAGTTTGGGCATTATAGATGATATGGGGGAACAACAAAAATATGTTCACTTCTGGTCTGTAGACGTGGATCAGTGGGTACAGTTCTTGCTTTTCAACTCTGTTGATCTAAATTTTAATCTCCAGAATACTCATGGTGCTGTCCTTAGTAGCATTCATTTGTAACCCCAGGGTTCGCACTGCAAGATTAGAGGTAGAGACAGGACACTATGTGGAAGCCCCCTAGCCAGATAGCTTGGTATGCATACCGTTGTATATCAGGAAGCCTTGTTTAAACAGGTGGAAGGCAAGGGGCAATCTCATCTCCTCATGTGAGGCGCCCACATTCACACACACAACACATACACAGAGATTAAAAATATATTCACTTCTGTATTCCGTCATCTTTACATTACTGAGAGCAGTGCCTAGTGTTAAAAGAAAGCTTTAGACAACTGGGAGTACTTTTGAGCCAGGAATGCTTTAAACAGTACTGAGCATCAGGACAGGTTCAAAGAGCTCCATTCTGCAATGTGGGCAGCCAATATTTACCGGAAGAGAAAGTGATGGAAGGTCCAGAAATAGCTGGTCAAAGTGAGGAGCTGGCTGTACTTGGGTATAATCTAATGGTTGACTATTTGTGATTCATTGGATTGAGATGCTTATAATGGCATGAAACCCAGCTGCCTGTTGGGAAACTCAGACTCCTAAGTTAGGTCTCTATTTATTTCTCTAATAAATTGAACTTCAGCTCTTTTTAATCAAAATCCAAGGGACAGAGACAGTCTGCAGCTACTGGAGCCACTGGCTATGTACTCACTCAGTTGAGCTGTAGACATTGATGGGAGCTGTTGAAACCAAGTGTCAAAGAAAACTATATCAAAGAGCCAAAGGACACAATAGAAGAACTACATATAATCATAATCAGCAGACATTGGAGGATGGAAAGAAAGGGTGGTGTTTACAAAACGTATTCTCATCTTTTGGATATAACTCAGAGACACTGCTTATATTTGCAACCTCAAAAAACACAGAGCTAAGAATTAACTCTGGAAAAGCTTTAAATCAGCTGCCTTTTCAATTTAATAAAAGATGGACTATTAAATAAATGATATTAGCCTGAGAGATTTTTAGTAAAATATAGTTAGAACTTCCGATAACTAATTGTTTAAGAGAAATGAG